AAGATGTATTTGTATTGTGTTAATATCATAAAGATGTATTTGTATTGTGTTAATATTATACATATGTATTTGTGTTATGTTGAAAATTTAAGATGTATTATAATTCATCGTTATGACCACATTAATGTATACATATATTACAAGCTTCTCAGAAAATCTGTGTACTTTGTGAAGTACACTACCATTCATAAAATGATTTAATGATCAAATGAAATTTACTTAAATATTCTACCAAAATTTTTTTTTAATTCTTCAGATCTAGTTCAGCATTTCTTACTCGAGAAACTTATGTACACGGTGAGAGAGAGGAATTCTGGGTTCGAAACCGTATTTAAGAATGTATTACTCTTAACTCTCGGAAGACTCCTTTATAAGTCTCCTTTATCTTGTTTTTATTGTACATTATTCGGTTTGTTTTGTGAGTAGTTAACAGTTTTTAGACAGCAGGGGACTCATTTTTTTTATTTCAGAGCAAAGCCACATTGGATTATCTATTGGATCCTCCGCGGAGAATCGAACCCCTGATTTTAGGGCCGTAACTTACCACTGTCCTACCGGAGGATACACGTAAGCAATTTTTTTTATATTTTAGAACAAAGCCACACTGGGCTATCTACTGGATCCCATGCGGTAATCGAACCCCGGATTTAAGCCTCGTAAAGTCCGTAAACTTATTGCTGTCTTCTCGGGGAACACACGTGACCCTAAGGCAGTTATAGCAGTAGTTCTATTCTGAATCTAATTATTCTATCATCATTGCAACCGGGACTCTTTGCAGTACCTGATTTAACTTCCTTTGGGGGGACTTGAATATCAATTTTATTAGGTACCCTATCTGAATTCTGGAATGGAACCCCACCTCCCCATGAGTGAAGCATAGAAGAAGAATACCAGCAATCAACAGGCCGGCTGGGATACAACAGGTATGGTAGTGTTCCAGACAACATACATATATATATATATCATCAGTTTTCATGAACAACAGCTGTTTCGGTGTAGATTAATAAGCAAGTGAATTGTAAAAAAAACTGTGTAGGAAATTACGCGTAGTGGTTGTTGAAACAGATAACAAGAAGTATGTTATAGGTCCAACCACTAAGGAGTTAATATATATATATATATAATTGTGGATAAAATGTTTCGGGCGATGCTCTTCTTCAGGTATCAGTAAGTGAATTGTAAAGTTTAGGTCAGTTCTTTACAATGAGTATTGTAACAGACAGAAACAAAGTTACTGGATATGTGGAACTTGTGGACCCCACAGATAGCGAATGGTACAAAAACAACAAGGTAATTTGATGGTTAAAAATGATTGAATTGATCTAGAAAGTAGAGGAGACACGAAAGCTAAGATTGAAACCTGTACCTGTTTCTTATGGAAATATATATAACAAATCCTCTAACACACATTCCTGATATTTTGTAAAGACACAGCCATTGTTCAGGAAAAAGTCGTCTGCTAGTAAGTCAAGAATTTCATTATACTACATATTCGAAATCTCTAAGTGTTAAACGGTACTCACTTTTTTATTATCGTACAAGTTCCCATAGCAACAATCCTAATGTCCCGACAAGGCACCCTCCATCCTCCAAACGGAGAAGGCATAGCTGAGGCGCTCGTGGGCCACGTAGCTGCAGGGACTAGCCAGTTTTCCATCCCGGTCATCATTTTTTAAGACTTGGTAAAGGAAGTCGATGTATCTAGCCGCTAGTTTGAGAGTCTGGATTTTACTCAGTTTATCAGAAGGTAGTGTTGGAATGATTTTCCTGAGGGCAGCAAAGGCTTCGTTCAAATTCTGGGTTCTCTGACGTTCTCGAACGTTAGCTAGAATCCTTTGATTCTGTAGTTCCTCGAAATTCTGGTATGACCTTTTACGAGGATGTCGCGCGGATTCTCGCGAACATTGACCAGTAGGGTCACTCCTCTTTCCGATGCGACGTTTTCGGTGTATCTTTCCGTCACCTCGGTCGTCGGATAGTGCCGATATTTTCACTTCTCCGCCAGCTATTAAAGTCCGGGTTTGGAGAGAGTTCCCTATGGGGTAATTAAACAGATGAGACTGTGTTACTTCGTGTTGATCTGTGATTAGGGGTTCGGACTTGATAGGGGCAGAGCAAGATGAAGGAGTGTACGCCGACGTTGTAGTGAAAGTTGCGCTTGTATCTGACAAGGAAGAAACCGAAATTCGGTCCGTGGAAAAGTTGGACTCTGTGGTCAAAGTGTCGTCCATATTTGGAAAGGGCGTCATTTCCGCCCGAAGCATTAATTATTCCTTTTGCTCTTTTGTGATATCCAAATCAGCACACACACACACACACAAGCAGGTCGAGATATTAACCAGTAGCCTCAGGTTAGTCCTCACGTCGCTCTAACCGCGTCTAGCTATTTACACGTGCATCACTTACACACCAGATTTAAAGTGAACGCCCTCTTCCTTTACACGACGTCCTTTTTTTCAACCACGTGATATACTTTTCATCCAGTTATAAGTCGTAATTTGAAAGTGAATGGGCCAATCCGGTGAGTTACAGACAACAAAGCTATGACATTTGTTAACAC